CGTGGGTCTAGGCCCGAAATGTCAGCCTTCCTGCTCCTCTGATGCTGCTTGGCCTGCTGTGTTCATCCAGCTCTACGCCTTGTTATCTCAGATTCTCCAGCATTTGCAGTTCCTACTATCTCTGTCACGGGTAAGGTATTGGAACCTATTATTAAATACATTATAACAGAGCTAGAAAAGTTAAAAAACCTCAAAGTTCAAGGTATCAAGCAGAGTCCACATGATTTTGTGAAAGGAAGATCAGATTTAAATAATTATTAGAGTTCTTTGCAGATGTAACATGTGCTGTAGATAAGGCAAACTGGTGAATGTGCTGTTCTTGAATTTCTGGAAGTATCTGCTGAGGTGCCACATCAATGGTTATTGTGAAATATGAAAACTCATAGTGTAGGGAGAGTTGCATTTGACAGAGATAGAAGATTGACTACCTAACAGAAAATACGGAAGAGACATAATTGACTAATTTTTTGGTTGGTAAGATATATGCGTGTTATGCCACAGGGATCACAATTCTGGGGTCTCAATTTTTTGCAATTTATGTAAATGGCCTTGAAGACGATGAAGGTATGGTTGCTTAATTTGCTAATGACACAAAATTAAGTTGCCAAGAGGAAATATTGAAGGTTACAAAGGATATAGATAGGTAAAGTGAGTGGGCAAAGATCTGGAAAATGGAGTATATTGTGGGAAAATATGAAGTTCTCCATTTTGTCAGGAAGGAGGAAAAAGAAACATATAATCTAAATAGTGAGTGGTTAGACAACTCTGAGATACAGATGGAACTGGGTGTCCAAGTGCATAAATTACAAAAGTTAGTATGTAGATCCAGCTGGTAATTTGGAAAACTAATAGATTGTTCTTGTTTATTGTGAGGAGATTTGAATACAAAAGTAAGGACTGTTGTACAGGGCATTAATGAGACACATCTGCAGCAATATGTACAGTATTGATCTCCTTATTTAAGGAAGTATGTAAATGCATTGAAACAGTTCAGAGAAAGTTTACAAAACCAATAACTTGAAGGGGCAGGTTGTCTTATAAGGGAAGGTTGGACAGGCTGCGCTTGTATCCACTGAAGTTTAGAAAATCAGAGGTGACTTGATTGAAACATATAAGATCCTGAGCTATCTTGACAGAGTGCAGGAGGAAATGATATTTTCTGTTGTAAGAGAATTTAGAACTAAGGGTCACTGTAATGAGGTGTCTATTGGAACTCAGTTCCTCAAAGGATGGTGGAAGCAGAGTCTTTGAATATTTGTAAGCAGAGGTAAACAGACCTTTGATAAGCAATGAATGAAAGGTTATTGTGGATAGACAGGAACTTGGAGTAATCAGATCAGCCGTGATCTTATTCAGTGGTAGAGCATTCTCATGGGATGAAGTGGCCTACACCTGCTCCTAATTCATATGTTTGTGAGAAAACAGAGTTAATGCTTCAGATCTCATGATTTTTCATCAGGACAGTTCTGATGAAAGTAAAGGCCACAGATCTGAAATATTAACTTTTTTTTTCTCTGCACAGATGCTTCCATGACCTTGAGGATTTTTTTTAGCATTTTCTATCTTTCGTTCAAGTTTCTAGCATCTGCAATATTTTGCTTTGGTGACAAGTTTGTTTTATTTATATTCATTTTTGTAAGATTTCCTTATTTGTATTTCTCTGCTTTTCATTTCTATCTGTGAAGTATTGTTTTAAATAGTGTCTTCTCTCAAACACAAGGATTACAGTACAATGGTCTGTTATGAAAATGCAAACCTCTTGGGGACAAGGTCTAATAACTGAGAGCTTACAATGTTGAGTACTGTTTATTTGACCTCCTTTAAAATTTTTTATATGCTTCTTCATCCCAGAGTAAAACACGACTCCCAGATTTCACACATATGCATAACGCAGTTTGGAAATCAAACATACAGAGTAATCACATTTTAATTTAAAAACAGTTTTTAAAGCTTATTGTTTAAGCCACTTCTTTAATTGATTTCACAGGAATAGTGAAGCAATATAAAATTAATCTAATTTGATAAAGAAATATATGTCCTCATTTAGATTAATTCTGTGCAAATTGTTCAAATATGGCGATACAGAATTCTTACGTATTAACCCATAGCTGAATAAATAGTCTTGTGGAAATTAATCATATCATAAGGAAATGTACTCTTTGTCTTGAAGGCTGAATAGGTACAGCCTGGAAGTTGATTGAGACTCACAGCTAATTGATATACCATCTGTTAAGCCTCAAATTATTATTGTATACGAATGTACCGCTTCTATCAGAATGGGGTTGATTTGTGGGGCCTTATTCTTCTAAACTGTATGTATATTTGCAAACAGTTGTAAACATAATAATAATTGTAACAAAAGATTTGTCACTTTTTAGGAATTCTGTAAATATTTTATAATCCACTGTGATAAGCTGATTTTACATTGTTTGAGGTGTACTTGACATTGATCAAATCAATTATGAAGAAAGAAAATTATTCAAAAGGAGACAGAGAAAGTAAAAGTTCTTTACTTAAACGATGGTTATAAGTTATATTTACTTTGGAAGTAAAGTGTCAAGTGAAAGCATTTTATTTTATTATTTCCATTGTCTGAAACATTTGAGGAAATAGATACCTCAAGCTTAAACCAATTTTAATTTTTTTGTTACTGACTGAAGATTTTGTTTTTATAATGCAGAGTATGATTTCCTCCATTGTAAACAGCACTTACTATGCAAATGTATCAGCAGCAAAATGTCAAGAATTTGGAAGATGGTATAAACATTTTAAGAAGACAAAAGATATGATTGGTAAGCAAGGAAAACTCCTAATCTGTTCATTATGTTGGTAGTAGTGGGCACATACTTTTTCAATAAGTGACTAACATCATGCCTTTGTCTGTTTAGATAAAGCAATTTTAATTACTTGCACAATTGTTTCAAAACATTTTTAGCTGAATCTTTGAAAACAGATGACATGCTAATTACTTAAAAATAAAAATTAGAAGATTTGGAATTTAATTCCAAAAGTGTGAACTACCTGTGATAGAGTGCAGATATGTGGTTCCAGATAACCATCAGCTAAACTCCTATTCTAATTATTTGTATCAACAGTGATATTAAAAACCATGAGATGTCTTAATCTGTAGAGTATAGAGTATAATTTTAATGTTGAGAACGTAATGTAATGATTCCTCGGGAATTATTATTTAAAATTAAGTAGCATTTTAATTCATCACCTGAAGTTTGTGAATGAGTGCCTGAAATGCAAATTCCAGCATGGAAAATGCTTTTTACCATTTAGAAGTGTGAGAGATCAGATTCAGACAATGCAGATCACATGCACTGCAAATGAAGGTACTTGTCTGATGCTGTGTTATAGTACCACTGTCATGACTGTATCAATGTCTAACCTTGATGGTAATAACACCACACTTGACCTTATAGAATGCTTATTGTTAGCACTTGCACAAAAGTGAATGTAGAAGTTCTGTTATCTAGTATTGTCAATCCTGCACCCTTGAGACCAAAAGAGTGGAACATCAGAATGGTGAATTGAAGGGGCATTAGTTCAAGTATTTCATGGTCTAAAATAACACTGATTTAGACACTATGGTGAGATAATGAAAAACCCTCCAGAAATTATGACATTTTCTCTGTAGTAAATTTTGTCCATTTTTTGTATTATCCTGAGCAACTCAGAACAGATATTTTTATAGTAATTATTTCTCATAGCCTCAATATTATTCATCAGAGTGCTGAACTACAAGAGGAAAATTACCGTATTAGGACCAAGAGGTGAAGCAACACTTTTCAGAATTATTCACAGCCAAAATGATCATTGTTAACAACTGGAATCAGCAATTATGATGAAAAAATGATTGCAGATGCTTTTTCAGAATCAAACCCCAGGGGTATTACATAACACACAATAAATAAATTATGTGGACATTTTCTATCTGAAGTGAAGCAACAGCAAATTTTCTGATAATTCAGTGAAATAGCAGTATTTTAATTAAAAAAGAGAAAATACTTTTGGCTATGCTTAAGCTATCAGTAAAACTGAAAAAATTTCTAACAGTAAACACCCTAAAAGGGATACTTAAAACCCAAAATATCACTCATCAGTAATTCATAGGGCTCGCAGGAAGACCTTTGTATAAAATACTGTGACATTATGAAAGTAATGCAAAATGTTTTGTCAGTCATTGTTTGTGCTTGGAGTTCCAGATTATTAGATAAGTGAAGGTGGCATAAAAAGGATGAAGCTGTTTGTTGCATCTAGAATGATAATATATAATACTTTTTATCATTAACCATTTAGTTCACAGAAAGGGCCTTTTGCATTTTACCTGAAAATGTTCTAGTGTGACTTGAAAATATTGATGTAATCCAAATCCAGGCTTCTCATTCAAAATTTCTAAATTTCACTGTTGTGGGAGGATTTTATGAAGCCAGTAATAGCAAGAAATGCAGCATGTGGAGTGACTGGAATGTGGAATTTCAATTTCCTGATGATGCGTTGAGATGCAGAGATGAAGTCAGGGGTTTGTTTATAGTATATCAGACCTCACACTGGCCTGTGGTGTTTGCTGTTGCAATGTAGTATGGCATGAATTCACATTAGCATAAAGTGTTCTTCCAATCATGTTCTGCCTTCAAAATAAAATAAGTGGCTCATGAGAATCTTGTCAGTCCTGCTTCATTCTGTTTAAGGATGTTGCACACCAATTGGCTTTGTGCAGCTGGCTGTGAGGTCAGTGGTTTTCCTTGGTGAACACTTTGGAAGGGGAGGAGGAAACTGGCAGGTTGCTTGGAGGCTTGGGGCCAACAAAAGTGAGTCAGTGGTGGGGTGGGATAACCTGTAGCGTGTGGTCAAGGGCTTGTAGGGAGGGAACCAAGGGAGACAGAGGGTGGGATTGGGGCCATGGAGAAGTGAAGTGGGAATGTCCTGCTTATGAATGGATGGGAATGGTCAGTCAATGCAACTCAATTAAAAGCCTAAAGAGTGGTGCCAATACTGTCAAATTGTAGGTCCATCTCAAGGTGTTAGCTGGCAGAGTCCTTACAAGTTTATCCATGACAATTAAAAACTGAGTGTTTTCTTGGACGATGTCCTTTACTTTGAAGTAGAGAGCCAGCTGAACCTGCAAGCTGAACTTGAAGAATAAAACACTGCCCAGTTTTATAAGAACATCTGAGAGTGAATGCAAATCGCATGGTTGTTTCTTCCACAACATAGAATGTCCTTAATTCTCCTACCAGTGCTAATCAGGAGGGATGCCAGTAGATTTAGCTGGTTGACTAAGTTGGTCTCTACAAATAATAGTGATACACACCTGAATAAAGTGAAATTTGAATTTTAAATTTTCTTTAAGTCACCTTTATGCTTACAATTCATATGCTAATGGAAATGGAGTTGGGCAGAAACGCTCTGGCCCACACTTACAACCGACCCGCAGCTGCAGCATTGCAAACTGATGGCATGTTTCACCACTGAAAAGCTTCCCCCATTGTGAAATTGTAAGGGCCTCCCATTCACGCCTGCTATACATTAAATTTTAGTAGTAATTGTGTGGAAAATGGGGAAAAGGCAAGAGAACAGAAGTGAGGCAACCTTCCAGTTCCATTGGCACACCATTGATAAAACTCCATCATCTGAATTTGCTGTATCTCAAATGGTACAGTTGATATGATTGGTAAATCCAGGTGAGATCTCATCACAATCCCTGTCCTGTCAGAGATGCCACCACATTTCATAGATAAATCTGACTGGGGAACAAAAAGTGTTGGAAATGCACAGGAACCAAACAGTATTTGAAAGACAAAGATAGGTTATATGTTTCAGGTGTGGCCCTTCAGTAGAAGGAAATAAACTAAAGGCTTAAAAGTAAAAACGCTTGAGATATAAGCTTATTTTTAAAAGCAAAGACATTTTATTTGGCTGATCAACAAACTGGCAGCCATTAATATGACGAGCTCGAAGTAGTCATAAGCAATTAGCAAATTATACTCCATAGCAGCACAATATTTGAGGATTCAGGATGCTTTGTACTTCACTTTCAGATTTCCATAATTCCAGGGAAGTCCAATTCCCATTGATGAGGCATTTTCTTTTTAAAGATCTACATTCACTCAGTATAGACCTAAAACAAATCTTTAGTATTTACGTCAAGCTGTTGTCCTCTGACATTTTGCTAGGTGAACCCAGAATAAAATATTTGGCATCTGGTTGAATGAAACTTTGTGCCATAGATTGGTACTACACTGACTTCAGATAAACATAAGAAAACAAGAGTAGAAGTCATGGTTGTCATCAGCAATCACTTGCTAAGCAATATGATGGTCCACCTAGGAAATTCCATGTCATTGATCACAGGTTCTGTGGGTCCTTCTGTGGCTGAGAGCCTGATGCTAGAGCTACATGTCCAACCTCACATTTGGCAAGTGTTTCTGGGAGGTGGGATTGGTCTGGTCCTCATCCATGTACTAAAGTTCCAAAAGTGAGGTCAGTGTCGTTTTCTTCTTGGGTTTCAACCGGTTGATGTTGAAAAGTTTTTCATTGTTCTGTAGACAATGTCCACACTTGTTCTTGTTCTTGACAAGATGAAGAATGGTGAGAGCAATTGGTGTTCCTGGCATTTCTTTTGGAGTTGCTGAGCAGTGAAAATCATGTCCATAGTTCCACAGTTTGATCGGAAGCCACACTGGGAGAAAATGCCTAGCAAGGATTTAGTTGGTAATATTCCTGGCAAGGGAGATAAGGGAGATTCCTCAGTAGTTCCCAACCCCACTTTGTCTGCCTTCTCGAACATGGTGGTAATGGCACCATCCCTGAGATCAGCAGCGATTTCCTCTTTGTCCCATATTTTCAAGAACAGTTGATTGAGATGACGGATAAGCTCTACTCCTCCAAGTTTGAAGATCTTCATGTGTCTAATGGAGGCTTCAAATTCTGCCATACTAGGTGGTAGTCCAAGACCATCTTTAATGGGGAGTTGAGGTCTTCCTCAAACACGTTTTCATCAGTGACTGTACTGTGGTTCGGGAGTTCTTTTGAAGCATTCTCTCCATTGGACACTGATGATTCTTCTGTCTGTTAAAAGAGTTTCATCCTTACTCCACACCAATTTGAGACCAAGGGTGTTGTGTCCATAAATTGCCTTGGAGGCACTGACGAAACCCTGGGTGTCATGCTTGTTAGCAAGGAGTTGCAGTTCCTTAGCTTTCTCAGACTAGCTTTTGTTCTTGATT